CCCCCCCCCCCCCCCCCCCTGGAGAATGGCAGACCTGCAGGCTGCATACAAGTAATCTCAGCGACATTGCCGGGATCACTTGTATAAAACAAGAGGCGGCTTCCCCGCTGTACATTTAGCTCTGCTTGCCCAAAGCCGGGCTTAATGTAGAAAACAACTACACGCCTGGCACCTGGAACTGCATGTCCCGGGCATCGGGAGATAGGAATTCCACACCCCTGCTGCCCCTCTACTCCCTGCTGCCCCTCTACTCCCTGCTGCCCCAAGGCCGGGCCTTGGTTGGCCTTGTGGGAAATCCGGCCCTGATCCTACTGGAGCACACCCAACACAGCCTGTGACTAATAACACTGCACACTTAGAGGACACAAGCCAGCACACAGCTAAGCTGACTATCCTTACACTGATAGATCACAAACAAAGGCGGAGCATTAGGAAAAATACTAAATCCCTACAATGATACAATGTAACAAAAATGTACAACCAGCAAAGTTCCAGCATTCTCCTCACATGTGCTCTGGAGCCACAACTTCTTGTAGTTCACATGATTATGTGCTGTACAACCTCCCTCTCATGCTTCAATGTTTGTGGGCAGGGCTACAATGGGTGCAGCAAGAGGGCGGTCATGAATTCAGGGAACACACTGGCCGCATGTTCACCAAGGTCATTCATCAGACACAAATATCACCAATCACGGTGTTCTTGTTGGGTGGCCGGCTGTACAAGATAAATGTGTGAAATGAAAGCGGCTCAGCAGGTCGGCTCTGCGTTCCCTCAGTCGTTAGTTGTGCTTGTTCAGTTAAAACTGAGAAACAAATCTGTTGTTTTTCCCCAGATATTCCGACATTCATCAGAACTTTCTCCAGCAGCCTCAGAGTGGCTCACACCAAACTGACAGCGAGGCCTCTGGAGGAACCCCAAAGTGTCAGGGTGGAGAATTTACCGGAGAACACATCTGAGATGCACCTGGCAGCTTTCTTCGAGAGCCCAAAACAAGGAGGAGGAAGAGTAGAAGAAACTGTGATGTTACCGGAGGAAAGAGCCGCATTGATCACGTTTCATGATGCAGCAGGTGAGTTCACAGGGTGAGACTCAAGAGAACAGCGGAGAGCAAGACTGAACCTTCACCTCTTAATGGTCTGATATTGTCCCTGATGGCACTTGGTGGTGGGGTGGAACCAGGGGCTGACTGGCAACTTTTAGCCCAGAATATGCGGAGGGCGGGCGGCTGGCCGGGTGCAGGTGGCAGCGGCCCTTCGCGATGGCATCAGAGAGGCCCGGGGGGCAATTGCCACCCTGCCCCCCGGCCCAGTCCGCCCCTGGGTGGAACCATTTGGGGCCAACATCAGAGTGTTCATACTCAGCCTAATCCATGCAAGCAATGCTCCCAGATTGAGAATGAGCAGATCTGGCCAAGGGATTGGTTATGAGCAGCCTTTGTTTAATGGCAATGTCAACTTTTTTTACCCATCAAATAATCTGCCATGTAATATTGTTGGCCAACAGATTACAAAAAACTGTTTTGACACTTTCACTTCAGAAAGTCACTAAGAATGTATTTATACACGGCTGATATACTGTATTCTGCAGATCATTGCGGAGCACATTGATCATTCAAATACACAGTAACTTTTGAACTAAAATTTGGTAAAATTGGGTTATGAAAGCCATAAAAACACAGGAAGAAAATACAAACATTCTGACTGAGCCCTGGTACGGAATGAAACCCCAGACCTCTCCACCCAAAGCCTCCATAGCAGCCACTAAGTCACCACATTGCCCTGTCATGTTACCAGTTGTTTTGAATTCTGAAATGAATGATATTTAACCAACCACTTTGAAGAACCTAATGTAAGTGATAAGTGTCGCTTGATCGTGAACCATCTGCTTGTTTCCTTCTCTTCCAGATGTTAAAAGAGTTTTGGAGAAGGAGCATGTGTTTTCCAAGAGAAAGATATCCGTGTTCCCTTACTACCCCATGCTGAGTATAGCACTGTATGGGCAGCAAGGACCTTGTATAGAAATACCAAAGCCCATAGAGTTCAATATCAGTCCCTACATATTGCAACATATCTGTAGTAATGAAGGATTAAAGAACAACATAGCTAAGAAGATGGCGGATAAACACTGTGAGATCAAATGGCCAGCTCAAGACTGCCAGAATCCTGCCCTTCAACTCATCTTCCCTCCTTCCTCGGCCACTCATCTCAGGTCTGCGGCAAAACTTGTGCCGAAATGGAATGAGGAGGTTTGGAATGAATTCTCACTTCTCATATCAAAGTTCACAGTAAAAGAATATAAAATGGATGAGTCGGTCTGGGAAGCTATCAGAGAACATGTCAGCAGCTCCACCTATGACAGAGTACTCATCAAACCTGACTTTGATTCAGACAAAGTTTTCTTGGCCGGAATGTCCAAGGATGTTACCGAGATTGACCCGACATTCAGACAATTGGTGGAGGAAACCTCAGAAAAGGTGGAAAGAAAGAATCAAACCAAAACTGAGATGTTATCCATGTCCCCAGCCCTCTATCAGATCATGTGTAACAGCGGCCTGAAGAAGAAGATACTGGACCAAGTTCCAGAGCTGAAGATGGACTATGATGTGCCAACAAAGAAAGCCCGGCTATCAGGACTGAGAGATGAGGTGCTCACTGCCAAATGTGAGATACTCAACCTCAAACAAGAAATGAAAAGTAAATCCATCCAGATGAATCCACATCTCGTTCAGTTCCTGAGATCCTCCGATAATGAGGACCTGTCCTGTCTGCTGTTTGTACGTCACAACATGAACGCACTGCTGGAGATTGATGATGACAATGTTAAACTGACGGCTTACTCAAAGAACGACTTGATGGAGGCTGAAGAACAAATGAAAGAAGAACTGGTTCACCGGGAACTTCCTGTGGAAGACAAAAGTCTGCTGAAAACTCCAGAGTGGAGAAGTCTCCAATCCCATCTCCTCCAGTCATTTAATGCAGAGAGCTTGACAGTCCAGATTCTGGAATCTTCTTCTGGGACAGAGGACAATGTGGTTATCAGCGGCCTGTCTTCAAGTGTACAAATATGCTACGAGCAGGTCGGTGACTTCCTGGAGAAGAACACCACCACACAGGCAGAGATTCCAGTCCAAGGATCGGCCATAATGAAGTTCATTTGGGAGGAAAGAAAGGAGATTTTGGAGAAGATAAAGAAAAATGTAAATGTAACAAAAAATGAGAACAACGTATGTGTGTCGGGCCCGCGGGTGAAGGTTCGAGAGGCAGAAAATGACATTAGGGACATTGTGGACTCACTTCACTGTGATGTTCTGCGGATTGACAAACCGGGAGCCAAGAAATTTTGGAATGCCAATAAAGAATTGCACGTTACAGCCGCAAGGACAAACTTCCATTGTGTGATAGTTCTGGAGGAGGCCGGTGTGGAGGAGAATCTATTTAGTAAATCACGATTTGAAATGAACCTTTCTAAGGGTCTGACCCTCTCTGTATATAAAGATGACCTGTGCCGTCACAATGTAGATGTCATTGTGAACGCAGCCAATGAAGATCTGAAACATATTGGGGGGTTGGCAAAAGCTATTCTGGATGCAGCAGGACATAAACTCCAAGATGACTGCGATAAGATTATCAGGAAGGATGGAACATTGTCCACCGGCGATTCAGTCATCACCGAGGCCGGGAAATTGCCGTGCAAACAGGTCATACACACAGTCGGTCCCCGGTGGGACTCACGTTCTCCCTCCAGATGTGAAAGGCTTCTACGAAGGGCGATCACCACCAGTCTACAGCTGGCCTCCGAGAAGGGTCACAGTTCAATAGCAATCCCAGCCGTCAGCTCCGGGGTGTTTGGATTTCCCTTAAAGTTATGTGTGGAAAACATATTGGAAGCTATACGGGACTACACAGAGACGCCGGGACTACAGAGCACTTTACAGAGGATCCATCTGGTGGACACCAAAGACGAAACTGTCAACATTTTCTCCCAGGTCACAAAGGCCAAATTTGGTAACCAGACCAGCACCGTGCCATCTACAGCAACGGCACCCCAGCCGAGCCCAAGAGTGGCAGAGAGCCCACAACGGCGAGTGAGTAAAGGGAACGCTGTGATGACCAAGGGAGGACTGAAGATCAAACTGCTTCAGAAGAACATTGAGGACTGTTCGGTATGTAGATCCACCAACAGTTTAGGTTTCAGATTGATAGAGGGGAGGAGCAGAACCTTTGTCAAGTCTTTATTGCTGCGTGAGTCCAGGGCCGGATTTATTACTTTTTAATCACCTTTTTTTTTTAATTTAATATTTTTTTTTAAAATCAATGTCATTTTTTCCCCCACCTAACTTTATTGCTATCACACAGGAGATAACAAGCCCCTGTGTGATAGCAAGGTAGACGGCCGCAACTCCTCCCCCCAGCTGTCAGATACTTCCTCCGGCATCCTGTTAATGTGGATTGACGTCGAAAGGAAGGATCTGACAGCGGCGGACCGTAGTGTGCGACCGCCGGACACCTTACACCGGCGCCCGCAACTTCCCCACAAGGTCACCGCTGCCGCCCCGAGGCCGGGCCTCGGTGGCCTTGTGGGAAATCCGGGCCTGTGTGTGTCCCCTTTTGGGGAAAATTCTTCTTGCTTCCTGTCAAAGTTTGATGAGAGGAAGTGAAAGGAAAATACCCAACAGGGACAACGACCGCAATAAAACCTAACAGCGGTTCTAACCCTTCCCAAATTTACTTATAAAATGTGTTTTACACGCCGCCTGTTACCCTTCATGTGGTGGCTGCATTCGTTTTATCACGCTAACAACATTTTCAGGCAGTACGGAAAATATCCGCCAGGAATTCAGTGCACCGTACTGTGAGCCGAGCACACAATGTTATCTCTCTTTTGTAATCCGCCAGTTTAATGGAGATGAACAAAGGCAGCGTGGCTGACAATCATGGCTGCCTCCAGAGATACAGAGGAGGAGTAAGTGTAGACACAAAGGGGCAGGAAATGTTATTCGCAGGATCTCCAGGCAGTGGCGACTCTAGGAACAATATATAGGGGGGGCACATAAGATACCACAGTCAGATCTGGGGGGGCACTAATAATTTTCATTGCATGTCGCAACCGATGGGCGCCGAGAGCTGATTTAATTGCGGATGGCATCTGCGCCCTGCAGTTGCGACAGAAGCTGCATACAGCATGTGCTGGTTACTACTTAAACTGGCCCGCTGTGTGGACCTTCTGACAAGATACGCTATTAGCATAGCGAGGAAGTCGGCTGCGCATTTTGCATCACTCCCGCTACGCTAATAGCGTATCTTCTCAGAAGCTGCACACTGCGCGCCGGTTTAAGTAGTAACCAGCGCATGCTGTATGCAGCTTCTGACAGCATAGTAGACGGGAGGCTGCACTTGTCGGTGGATCCAGGGATCAGGAAAATATTTTATTTTATGTTATGTTTTTTAAATGCGTGTGTTCGCAGGGTCTGGGGCCTTTAATTTTATGGGGGATTTTTAATTTTAGTTTATTTAACTTTTTATTTTTTTACATTTTTACTTTTTATTTATTTAACTTTTGTATTTTTTATTTATTTAACTTTTTTACATTTTTACATTTTATTAATTTAACTTTATTTTTTTAACTTTTTTAATTTTAGTTTATTTTATTTTTTTAAACTTTTTTTTTTTTTTACTTCATTGCTGGAAGCAATAGCCAGCCTGCTATTGGATATTTCAAATTGCAATAGCCAAAAACAGGCTGACTACTGCACCCTCGCACTGCCTGCTGTCAATCAGCAGACGAGGGACCTGAAGTTTTCTATCAGGTCCACCTCTGTTGATTGACAGCAGGCAGTGGGCGGGTGCAATAGCCAGCCTGTTATTGGCTACCTGACTCTGCAGAAGCAGCATAGTAGCAGCAAGCAGCTGGTGCCCAAAGCTGAATAATAGGGGCCCAACGCTGAAGTGCTGTCCTCTGCAAAGGCTCCCCACCTCAGCGTCGGGCCCCTATTATTACGTTTTGGGCACCAGCTGCTTGCTGCTACTGTGCTGATGCAGAGATCAGTACAGTAGCAGCAAGCAGGTGGTGCCAAAGGCTGAATAGGGGCCCGACGCTGTGGTAGGGGCTAGGGAAGCCTTTGCAGAGAACAGCTGCTGTCCTCTGCAAAGGCTTGGCCTTCCACCACCCCAGGGTCGGGCCCCTATTCAGTCTTGAGCACCAGGCCAGCTGCTTGCTTTACCTGTGGTGATCTCTGCAGAAACCCCCCCAACGTCGGCCATATAAACTAAGCTTAAATTAGTATTTATGGCCGGGGCCTGAGTAGTTGGTGCCACACCCCTAAGAACTTTGGTATAAAAAGGAAAGAAAAAAGATGGGGGGGTTTTTTGGGCACCTAATGACAAATCCAAAGCAATTTAGCAGTAAAAAAGTATTTTTAATCTTAGTAATATTTTAAAAGATTGATTCATACAGTGCAAGTAATAAAAACAACCGGCTGATCAGATGTCTCCTTATACGCTCACTCCATTTATACCGCCCATTTCAAGAAAGACATGATAGCATGATTGAAAAATTAATTGAATACATGATTGAAAAATTAATTTGGGTTCATTAAAAAGTGGAGGGACATAGGCTTTGCTCACTCCACCTATGAACATCCCATTCAAGAATACATGATAGAATGGTTAATTAATAGCATGATTAGAATAATAGATACATGAATAAGGATGGTTGAGAATAGGGGAGCGAATATTGTCTCGACGTTTCGCGCTCAGAGGCGCTTCTTCATGAGATGGAGAGAATCAATTTAGCAGGCTGACGTGCGTGTATCCAAGACGGCCCCAACCGGGCAGTACACCAAAACAGTCCTCCCAGGGGAGAGGGAGAGGAGCGAGGACCAAACCCTGCGCGGTACTGGGTACGGGTGGCTCGGAGGTGTTTGGAGGACATGAGTCCCTGTGCGTTTGTGGGGCCTCCATGTGAGGCAGTGTCTAGGTGAACAAGTGACCCAAATCCTGCGGTTCTTTACTCCATACAAGGCTTCCCTATTATTCTATGCCTCCCACCTCAAACTGCTCGACACAGGGTTCCTCTGAGCGCGAAACGTTGAGACAATATTCGCTCCCCCATTCTCAACCATCCTTATTCATGTATCTATTATTCTAATCATGCTATTAATTAACCATTCTATCATGTATTCTTGAATGGGATGTTCATAGGTGGAGTGAGCAAAGCCTATGTCCCTCCACTTTTTAATGAACCCAAATTAATTTTTCAATCATGTATTCAATTAATTTTTCAATCATGCTATCATGTCTTTCTTGAAATGGGCGGTATAAATGGAGTGAGCGTACAAGGAGACATCTGATCAGGCGGTTGTTTTTATTACTTGTACTGTATGTGAATCAATCTTTTAAAATATTACTAAGATTAAAAATACTTTTTTACTGCTAAATTGCTTTGGATTTGTCATTAGGTGCCCAAAAAACCCCCCATCTTTTTTCTTTCCTTTTTCTATCATATAAACTAAGCTGCTGTGCTGTCCCCCCAGCCCCAGACACCAAGCCTCAACTCCTGCTATCCCCCCAGCCAGCCCCAGACACATCTCACTCACCTGCTGCTGTTCCCTCTCCCCCCCAGCTCCAGATCATTGCAGACTTACCAGTGCAGTGACTTGACTTCACTTCACACTGCCACGAACAGCCATCAGGCTCTGCCACAAGCTCCGCGGCCGTCCCTGAGAAAAAAAACCCTTCCTGCACGTGGGCAGGAAGGTACCAAAACATCAAATTGGACGGGGGTGTTGAGACGTACCAACTGTTCCGTTCGACCGCGGCGGACCCTGCAAGGACACCTTGCCGATCCCTGGCGGGGGGGGGCACACGGGGGGGGGGCAAGTGATAACCTAGGGGGGGCACTTGCCCCCCTGTAGCGACGCCACTGTCTCCAGGTGAAAAGAGCCAAATGAAATAAAAAGAATGCAGCCGACACATCTAAAGCTACAATGTATCAAATCTTTATTTTGGGGTTTGATTCACTATAAGTCCCTCCCTGTCCTCGGTGTGCAGCAGAAGAGACGGCTCACCTCTCCCTATGTGTGGAAGGAAACCTGTGTGTGGAGCTGCACACTGTGGACTTGAATCAGATAATATTGTATAAGATTCTATATAATGTATAGTAGTATGCGGGTATATACCTGCCCTGATAAGGAAATGTAACAGTAGAAGGATGATACTCATCACTATATATACTCATCATTATACATACTCATCACTATATACTCATCACTATATACTCATCATTATATATACTCATCATTATACATACTCATCACTATATACTCATCATTATATATACTCATCACTATATATACTCATCACTATATACTCATCATTATATACTCATCACTATATACTCATCACTATATATACTCATCACTATATATACTCATCACTATATACTCATCATTATATACTCATCACTATATATACTCATCACTATATACTCATCATTATATACTCATCACTATATATACTCATCACTATATACTCATCACTATATATTCACTATAATAGGTACCTCTAATTTGGGATATTTTTCTTTCCTGATTTGGAACAAATAAGAATTCCAAAGTCTGGGGGTTTTTTTGGACCTGTTCAAATTCAATTCATTTCCCCGAATATCCCATAATAATAATAACATTTGTCATCTCTTTCCATGGCAGACGGATGTCATTGTGAACAGTGTAGGATCTGATCTGGATCTGAATGCCGGCGCCATATCTGCAGCCTTGTTCAATCGGGCCGGCTCCGAGATCCAGCGGCTTCTGAATGATGAAAGTCGGGGCGCGCAGGGGGTAGCAGGATCTGTGTACAGCACCGACGGCTGCAACCTCAACTGTCAGGAGGTTCTCCATGTTGTGACCCCTCACTGGGACAGCGGACAAGGAACATCAGAAACGGTACGTTCAGGTCTGCAGAGGGGGGTGGGGAATGGAGTGTGGTCACTAAAGCTGCTCATATACACAGAGATTTCCTATGTTTAACCTATGGACTGAGCAAAGAAATCAGATCCCTCCATTAGATCCCTTTATCATACCCCTCCATCGGATCCCTCCATCAAATCCCTCCATTAGATCCCCCCATTAGATCCCTCCATTAGATCCCCCCATTAAATCCCCTCCATTAGATCCCCTCCATCAGACCCCTCCATCAGACCCCTCCATCAGATCCCTCCATCAGATCCCTCCATCAGAACCCCCCATTAGATCCCCCCATTAGATCCCTCCATTAGATCCCTCCATTAGATCCCTCCATTAGATCCCCTCCATTAGATCCCCTCCATCAGATCCCTCCATTAGATCCCTCCATCAGACGCCTCTATTAGATCCCTCCATCAGACCCCTCCATCAGATCCCTCCATCAGACGCCTCTATCAGACCCCTCCATCACATCCCCAACCATAATGAAGCCATCGCATGGAACATTTTATTGGTGGGTCTTTAGGAGGAACTTCAGACAATCTCCAGAGGTTCTCACCTTTCCCTACTATACATAAACCTTTGGCTGGGGTTCCTCTTTGTACCTTTTCTGATCTTACTATGGGGCCACATGGACATAAAATTGGGCCATTTCGAGATGAGGTACAAAATACCATTTGTCTTCATTGTGGCTCTTTTTTTGTGATATTTGTGGATATTGATCACATTGTTGGGTTTTTATTGGGGTAAAACTTCTGTATGAAGACGTCCCTCATCTTTCATGATCTTGTTTGGTGGTTTCCTATGAGAAGTTTTGTCATGGCGATTAACTGTAACTTTCTGCCTTACAGTGAATGTAAAGGCTCTGACCATTTGGCAGCTGAAACTGAGACTTCCTGTAACTGCCGGCTTGGTTGGACAGCTTGGCCTGATACAGGAAGTGACAGAATCACAGATAATAACGGGGGGAAGGGTGGGACTCATACACATACCGCTGTATCCATGTCACTCATAGACCGCATCATAGATTTAATTTGCTCTTGGACTTTGTGTTTCAGATTCTTCGCACAATTATTAAACAATGTTTGACGCTGGCGGAGCAGAACCAGAGGACATCAATATCATTTCCAGCTTTTGGGACCGGCAATCTCGGCTTCCCGAAGCCTGTCGTGGCATTTGTGATGTTCGATGAGATTTCCCAGTTTAGCTGCAAAACCAGAGTGCAGAATCTTCAAGAAGTTGATTTGGTCCTAATCACTCTATTTTAATTATTTCTTATAATTTTTTAACTTTTTTTTTCTTACTTTTTATTTATTTTATTTTTTACTTTTTATTTTTTTTTATTAATTTTTATCAATTCCACAAATCACAAAAACAAGAAAACAAAAACAGTTAATTTAACCTAACAGATAAGATAATACATCTAATATCCCATTCATCTCACATCTCTATAACCTTTCATCCTCACCCTCCCCCACACACATTTGATCAAACTTTTTTTTTTTTCATTTGACTTTATTGCTATCACACAAGAGCTAACAAGCCACTTTGTGATAGCATTTAGAGGTGACAGGTTCTCTTTATTGCCCGAGGCATGGGGCAAGGAAAAAAAAAATCTACCCGCCTGGCGGCTGTGCTGCTCCTCTATTCCCTGCTACCCCAAGGCCTGGCCTCGGTGGCCTTGTGGGAAATCCAGCCCTGGACTCATACATACACACATACCGCTGATCCATGTCACTCATAGACTGCATCCAGGGGCGTAACTAGAAATCACAGGGCCCCATAGCAACATTTTGTATGGGGCCCCGTGATTGCTAGTTATGCCACTTGCAGAGCCCACCTGATATACCAAACAGCCCACCTGAGAGTGACCCTGCACAGCCCGCCATAGACTCTCTATAGTGGGCTCTGCAGGGTCTCAGATGGGCTGCACACCTCTTACCTGTCAGCGCTGTCCGCCTCCGTGGTCACCGGGCCCCGCCTCCTCTTCCGTCCCCGGGCCCCGTCTCCTCTTCTATCGACGGGCCCCGTCTGCTCTTAGGTCGCTGGCCAGTGATGTAAGAGGAGGCGGGGTTGCTCTTAGACGGGCCCCGCCTCCTCCTTCACTGCGAACGCCGGCCTCTTCTGCCGCAGCTGGTGGCTGTCACTGACACAGTGATCTTCACAGCCGCTGAGGAGCTGTGTCAGTGACAGCCAGCACCCTTACATGCCATAGCCAACCAGGCGGCCCACACCGCCTCAGAGGGATGCCCTGGCCGGTCCCCCCTGTGTCCGGGCCCCATAGCGGCCGCCTGGGTCGCTATGGCGATTGTTA